ATGGTTATACATAGGGGGTGCTTATTTTCGGATATTACATAAAATTTGATGGTGCTTAATTTCGGAACTATACGGTATTCTATACCATTAGTGATGACGTCGCGTGACTATTAAATTTTAAATAATTGCAAAAGTTATATTTAAAGCCTTTGTTTTTATAATAACAAAACTATTTTGATTCGAACACTAGTCTACCATTTAAGGAGATTATACAGCATTTTCTTATTGTTATCTCTTGATTATCTCGTTCTGCTTTTTTCAGTTCTCTTCATGTCCGGAAGACACGTATATAAATATTTTTACCACAAGTCATCAGAATGGTGTATTCTTGGTTTTTTTAAACGAATGTGATCTGGAACCACTAGATCAGAAACTTGGAGCACATTTTTAATTTGAAACAGGTCACCACCGAAAATAATCGCCAATATAGATCTCTCATTGTGTGTTGACATTTTTTTTTTTTTATTAGTGAAAAATTTTTTTGAAAAAATTTCAGACTTCGAGACCAAATATCATAAAGATTTACGGATAACAATTTTACTATGGATTTTAATGTAAACAACAAAATTGTTTCAGACTGAGATAAGGATATTTTCCCAACCTTCGAGGACAAGTTTAAGTTTATAGTACGAGTAAAGCACAAATGTTGCTTTATAAAGAAGTCTAAAAAATGTTGAACGCGAAAATAATCTGCTTGAGGAGAAAGCTATTGAAAACGAGAATAGAATTTTAAGATTGAAGGAGGAGGTTAATATCATTTCTGATTTTAACGTATGATATTGTTGTTAATTGCTGTATAGTATTTATTGTTTTAGTGCGTAGCAACGGCTTTCTAGGTCGTACTGCTATGAATCACAGATGACTTTCTAGGTCGTACTGCTATGAATCACAGATGACTTTCTAGGTTGTCTGGTATTTCTGTATTTTAAATATGTACAGCAAGACTTTAGTGACAATGATTTTAGTTCGTAGCAATGGCTTTCTAGGTCATACTGCTATAGGCACAGGTGACTTTCTAGGTTGTCTGTTGATTCCGCCAGGACGCAGGTGCTTTCTGGGTTGCCTGATGTTCAAAGGTTTCTAGCTGATTTGGCGGGATTATAAAATCAGATAAAAATCAAACGAAATATAGATTGGTTGAAAATACTGTGTTGCTAACTAATTTTATCTTCCATCCCAGAGAGACAAATTAGACTCTACATAGCAATTATGGACGATCGAATAAACCGATTCAATGTTACCAACCGACATTTATGAAGGGTGGAACTATAAATGGTATTTTAAATGAAACCATGACGGGCGGAACATTTATTGCCGGATCAACACGAGGTACTCATGATTTAATAATTAGCAAAACTGTCAATATTATTTTTAAAATTTAATTACAATCTGGCCTTGCACTCTATAGAAAGTGGATTGTGAAATTGACCAATTTTTTCAAAGTCCAAATGAACAACAAGAGTGGTTCAACAATGATCATAATTCCATATTTAAGTGAAAATTTGAATCATGCAAAGAAAGGTTGGCAATCACATGCTGCTTATCCTGTTGGGTACGGTAACGGTGCAAAAAATTTTTAAAGCTTCAAGACTCTTGCTTTAGGCGATGGGACCAATTGGTCAGACTGGATTATGACTGATGAAATCTATTCATGGCAAAAACGTACTCCACCTGATGTCAACTGTGATCTAATTGGTTATGGTGTTCTAAATAATATTCCATACTACAAACCCTGTAGGAAACCCTATGTATTTTAAGTTCAACAATTGCAAGAAGCTGAATGATTGATTTTTTTTCTTTATTTTATATATGATATCTTGCTTCGCTGCATGTGTTAAATCGTTGTGGATTATGCTCATGTATATAGAGAGGCTTAATCAGAAAATTGATATTTGTATTCATTTATTCATTTTATTATTCGATATAAATTTAATTAGTATTCTACTAATAGTTCCATACTTTATTTTATTTTTTTATTATGTTTTTTTTTTCAATATACGTATTAATTTAACAATTATATTTATTAATTCAGAGATCGAAAAATTACTCTTTTAAAGGGCACATCAGGAAATTAATTAAACCAGTTAAATAGGCGTAAGACTGACTTGATTGCATTATTAGATGAGTCTTCCAAAAGTAAATTTAATATATAAATAATATAATCACGATTGTGTTGTGGTACGCATATTATACTGTATATAAATTTATTTTTATAACTAGTATCATAATATTATCAATTTTGCTTTACAAATTGAAGCGTATCATTTTAGTCAAAAATATTTTTACTGGCCTTTGTTGTTTCTACTCCGAATACGGTGCACTAGACGTAAAAATGTGTAAGATTTATTTTATTTGTTATTCGATGTTCTCTTCAAATAATAAATGGGACTTCCCACAGCAAAAGATGTGCCAAAAAATCAGACGTTTTAATTCTATAATAATTTTATTCTAATCAATCTAATTCTTCAAGATATTGAAAAAATTTTTTTTGGCTCTTCACGCTTACTTGGTTGGTTCTTCCAATAGGTTTTTTTCATCTTCAACTCCTCATTATATCATTACAGCAATTTTACTTAAATTTTTTTCTAATTTCTCATTAAAGGCTATCTATACTTATTTAACCACAAATGAAATGAGTGACAATCCCATTCATCCGATTATCCATATACTTCAACGATATAAAGGTACTTGTCAAATTCGTTGGCAAATTTAGTTTGTATATGGTTATATTTTATTAGTTTAATTCTTATATTACTCGCTCGTTCTATTAGGTCTAAGGAGACAAATAAAAGGCCGATTGATGCCTTGGGTTTGGCGACTCGAGTGTTTTGGGAAAAGTTGAAATGGAACAAGTTATAAAGGGTGTAGGATCATAGTGTGGCCTATGTCTGTGCGTATATTTGTATCTTATTGTCCGGAGCGTAGCGGAGGGCACCCTGGACGAGTAAAGTGTAACAAAGTAACGATTTTGATGCATGATATTGATATAAAATAGCATCTTTTGACGTGAACCTTTATATGACAATTCAATAAGATTTCTCACAAATAATATGGATATTTCATTTTCTAACATTACTAGGTATCTGGTTTACAGAAATACCCCTGGTATCCCGAATTATCAATTACATATTCCCGCCATTGAACTTAAAATGATGCTTCTGATGGCAATCTTGCTGGGCAGTTAGTGGATTAATTTGGATTTATGGGAATCACAAAACATAATTCTAAGGTTAACGCACTAAGTTATCAACTTCATTCGCAGTAATGACGCTTACTAAAATAAAATATTATACTTGTTAAATTATTACCCTGGATAACATTTTCAAGAAACTAATTGAGAAATTTAGACAAGAAAATTATTAACCCAACCCACTTTTTTTCGTTCCCTCATTTAATCAAATGGCTTTTACTTTTCTTTAAAATTAGGATGATGATTCGAATTATCGCGCATGTGCGTTCCGAAATAACGCGCAGGGTCTCAAAATAACACACAAGTGCGCGTTATTACGCGTCTATACGATATAGGTTTTAAATTCGGAAATTGAGTTATTTTGAGTCAAATACGCAATTTTTGAAATAACTCCCATGTGCGTTATTACGCGCCTATATGGTATGGGCTATTTATTAAATGTTAATTCGAATTTTTTAGGGAATGACCTTTATTTGCGAGAAAATTTTTAGCCCTCATATGTAATAAAAATAGTATTTGCATCTGCATCTTTTTTGCCTTTGCACGCTGTTACTCTATTTTTTAATAATTCTATAATATTCTAGTCTGGTCTTTTTATCCTTTCTTCTTTAGTTCTGTTTTAGATAGATTAGCTTTGTAATTGCTTTTATTGGTACTAAAGGTTTGGTCCGTCAAAAAAATGAAAATCCGTATACAGTATTCAAATTTTTTTTTTTTTTACACAATATTCAAAATTCTGGAACATCTGAAAAATTATCGATGAACGAATCGATAAATCAGATAAGTTTTTGTTTTCGACGTTGGTAACTTATTGATTCTGACCTGGTAGCTTTTCGATTCAATCAACGGAAAATTTTTCTGTTGTCCCAAAATTTGTGAAAATGGCATAACCTACAATAAATAGTATAAATGATTTTTCAACGAAAGAAATATCTTTAAAAAGTTTTTTTGTTGGAGCCAAACTGTGAAGACATATTTAGAATTGCTTTTTATAAAATTCACTTTTTATTATATAAAATTAAACCTTATTACTTACATAAATGTAGCTTATATTATTGTCAATTATTATCAAAGATTTAAATTAGGAAAAATTCCATATAACGATACTCAATTCTAATTATATGTATTTAATTCTAATTATACTGAAATATGGAAATTTCCTTGACTGTTATAATCAAATTTAATTACACATTAAGTCAATCATTATTTATTGATGATACATTAGTTTTATACTGCATCTACGATCGTTTTATCATCTCGTTCTTCATCAGTTATTTCAGTTATTTCATTAGTAATTTCATTAGTTATTTCATTAGTTATTTCATTCAATCCAGTGTGAGGTCTTTCATCATCTACAAACATCAAAGTAACCATAATTATGACACTAACTATCGCAAAACCTAAATATAACCACATAAAAACAAAATTCGCTGCTCGAATTTTACAAGCTGTTTCACTTATTGGATATTTGAAGTTGTATTGACAATTGAATGGAATCGGATCAATCTCATGTATTGTGTAGATAGTGTAAATAACTAAATTAAAAAAAAAAAAAGATAAAGCTAATGAAGTTAAAGGCTGATGATTAGTAATTTAAAGTTTTAAAACTTACTTGGTAGAACAAACCAAGCCATCGATGTGAGTATTGTTAAAATTCTAAATAAGTTCCAAAATGTTAAGTATTAGTAATTTATAAAAATAATACCTTTCAAAAACAAAAATACAAAATAAAGTAGTCTATTAAAAGTAAATAAAATACCTAAAGTCTCTCATATTAAAAAAACAAAAACAGCACATTGCAAAAAAACTAATTGCTAAAGAAATTATATTTTTGAATATTAATATTATTAAACGATTTACTCAAAATTCATATAAAAAATAATAAGTTCTTACCAGCTGTTGAACAAGTAAGTGCTATGTATCTAAAAAAACATTCAAATCCATCACAAAATCAAATATAATATATATATACATAAAATAAAATAAAATAATTTTGTTAAAAAGAAATTTATTACTAATTGTTAAAAAATTGGGTTGTTCTTACGAATATTCAACACCTTTATTACTATATTGAAGTTCTCCATTAGTTTGATCAAATAAAAGGACTTTTGCAAGTGCTATATTGTTTAGAAAAAAAAGGTAAATGTGTCAAATTTTGCTTAAATTATAAAACCATAGTATTAGGATCCATTATTTACCAAGAGCCGGACATAGGAATGTAAGAATAAAAAGTAGTATTATCAATAGTGCCAAAAAAAATGTTCTTATTTTCCCTTTCGCCATTTCTAATTATGAATTCCTTTCGAAATTAATTCAACAGTTGATTTCAAACACTTTATTTTATAAGTGTATCATTACACAACAGCAAATAAGAATGGCTTGTAGTTTCTATATAGAACAATGCATAAATTATCTTTAAAAAGTGGGTACTCTTCGAAAATATTGGATATTTAGTACCGGTACGTATTATGCAAATACATACAATACTTTATGAAAAGTCATACGTATAATCCTGAACTAACTCACGATTAAAGTTTCCATTGATATCGATATGTATCATATGAAATATATTATGTATGATCATTGTTCGTGTTATGCAATCTGTAAGTCAGTTGATTTTTTGGTTTCATTTTTGGCAATTCATCATTTGGCTTTATTGTATTTGTGTTAGTGTAATTTATCGTTATAATGATAAATATTTACATTTGTATGGGTGTACTAATGCTCGAAAAAGTTATATAATGATCCGGATATTTGACTATTTTATTTGACAAAAATTCGTACGTACGTACGTACTAGAGGATCAGAATTCTGTGTTGAATTAGCAAATTTTATTTAAGATCATTCATTTCCCTTGGTGGTTATTTTCTCTATAGGCCATTTACCCGACGTCACACATGTGATAATTTACTAACAATATATATCAAATGATAACCCTAACGCAAATTTTGCCAAATTTTGATTGATACTATGTTCAAATTACGATAAAATTTACTTAATATAAAGTGGATGACAGCTATTTCCACATACCAAATTAGAGCAACAACCGTAAAAAAATTATTCACGTACGTACGTACCTTTCTTTTTCGCATTGTGCCGACATATAAAAACTGTAAATATGAACTTAAAAATTTGTTAAAATAAAATTATTAATGTACTGTACGTACAAAGAAGTAGTATAATTGAATGCCACCAAGAGAAAACCTGCAAATCTTATTGGATAAGATTTGCAGGTTTTCTCTTGGCAGCACTCAATTCATATCGTAAGCATTCTATTTTTTACATTGTAAATGACATTTTTTATTGGTAATTATTTAAAGATTATTGCGTCTAACAATTTTTTTTGCTATTCCAGAAATTTGTTTTTTAATGAAAGAATATCCTTTGATGACATATTTGATTAAGGACCTTTGCAAAATATGATTATCGAAGATTTTTTATTTTGTTTTATATTCAGATATTTTACTTGTATGTCACACTTCAAAAAGTACTTTAACCTATAGAATGTTGCTATAATATCCCATGATCTTGATATGACCAACTCTAACATCGCAATAAAATCACATACGTATGTATCTGGAATATTTAATTTTATTGTCCGGAGCGAAGCAAAGTGTTTGTCCATATGAGATATCGTTTACCATTGTGCCCCAAGCAATATCCTACTGCATAAGTACTCCCTTCTCCATCACTGGATTCCAAAAGTACGAGATTTTGAATAAGATCTGGGTATTATATACAATGGTAAACGGTAATCTTTGATTTTACAGATAAGGTTTATAAATTTCGTATTAGTACGCACCTATTTAGTTTTCTGATTTCAGAATTTCAAAATATAAATGAGATTTCTAAACTCCCACCTGTTTTCGAAATTAATTTGAAACCCTCTAATCATTTTAATTTATTCGTGTTAATTAGTGAGAGAATATGTTTTGAGGTAAGCCATTAAAGTCATAAATATTTAATGTTATGTAATAGCTTTCAATTTTTCACTATCAATTGTAGTCGTTTAATTCAAGTTTCACGGATATTTATGTATGTATTATCTTTCATTGGCTCATTTTTATTTCGTGTTGATTGAGTAAGTGAGTATAAAGGTTGTAGGCATTTCTGTTATTTATAGTAGTAATCGCATTTTGTGAAATTATTATTTAATTTTACCGTTATATTTATTTTTCTGTAATTAAAAAAATATATTTTTAACTTTTCAAAAAAATTGAGGTCCTCTAACGAATATGAATTAGTAAAAAGAATTTTTCTTTTGAAAGATAACTTGTAAAGTTACAAGACAGAAGCGACTCATAAAAAAAATTCAACAAAAATCTTCAAAGTTTTTTTATTTATTCATTTAATTTTTTTTTTTGAAAATTATTTCTATCGAATTATATATAAAACATCTTTAGTCAGAGACATATAAGTTATATATCTCTGGCGTTTTGGTCAATTAAACTACCTAGTATAGATTCAGATTAAGAGGGATAGCTTATTTGACGTAAAACCAATAATTTTAATTAGTATATAAAACAGTGTCAATATATATAAAAAATAAACTTGACGTAACTAACCTTGTATATATTACATCAGGAAATTTTTGAACTGGTTGGCAATCAATTGACGCCTAAAAGTGGCAATCGATAAGCAGCACCTCTGCCGATTACCAGCGATAGAGGCGCCAATCGATTGTAATAATAAGCAATTCTACAGTAATCGATTGGCAACAAGCTGCTGATTAGAAGCGATTAAAGTTACAATCGATTAGCAACAAGTCTGATTAGAATCAATTACAATCGATTAATAAATCAATATTGATTATTATCGATTTTTCTTAATCGATGGCAATCGCCTTTGTAGCTAGTAATCAATATCCACCTTATTTAAAAATTTCCTGATGTATATGATCAGTGGGCTTGTATTGCCATTTATCGTTATAGTCGTTATAGCAGCTATTTGGATTTTCTCTTGATTAATTCCTGCGGTTTGTATTTAAGTCAGTGCGGTACGTACGTACTAGGGTGGTAACTCAACTAAGTAAATTATGTGAGCAAACTATGGAATTTGTTCTATTGCAGAATTTTCACGTTACACGAATAAAAATCAATTTTAATTATGATATCAATTTTCATATTAATATAATTATCGCCGTATTACATATTGATACTGTTCTAATACATATTAATCTAATTATTGCAATATTACATATATATATTAATTACTTTAAAACGACGCAACTTA